TCAGTTTTCAAGCAACCCACTTTTTGAACAAATCCAGTAAATTCATTTAATTAAATAAATTATATTTACTCAATAGTTCTACTAGTTTTCATTCCTATTTTGTAAAAAAGATTGAAATGAAGATTAGTAGAAAGTGGTGTTCAACAAAATATAGTAGCTCTCAGCCAATTCATATATTCTTCAATTCTCCTCACTTGTTTCCACGCTATCACATATTTCAGATTTATACATTATTTTTCAAGCTGAATTAAATAAAATATATATTGTTTAAAACTTTTTATATCATAATTAAATGTTTCCTTATTAGTTTTTAATGCTCTATTACATATGTAAGAATCATAAAAGTTAGAAAGGGTAATACTTATTAATTAAATTTTGTAAAATTAATTGTTGACCAGATATATCAATAATTACTGAAAACATAACTGATCATCCATATTTTGCTATTAAGCAATTAATTAAAATTTTCATTATAAGAAAATAACTTACTGCAATTATATTTTTTGTACCAATCTTGCATTGAGATTCCAGCTGAACAACACTGCTTTGCATATTCCATTAAACTATTGCAAATTACTGAATGAGGATCTGCCGAACTAGCAGCATCATAGATACAAGCAGTCTGATATAAAACAGGGTCTATAATCAAGTGACATGCATTGAACATTGGATCCAAAATTTCTGTACAGTTTTCTTCTAAACTTTCATTAGATATATGCTGTAAAAATATAATTTATCCAATAAATAAAATTATTTTAGAATTTTGTTTTCAATTTTTATAAATTCAAAAATTATTTTATTCTGATATCATTATCTAAAAGTTGATTCTTAAATAAATACAGTGGTACCTTGGTTTTTTAAATAATCCATCCGAAAACAATCAGAGAAATCCAAAACCAATGAAAACCGAGGCAATTATTTCCACATNCAGCATCATAGATACAAGCAGTCTGATATAAAACAGGGTCTATAATCAAGTGACATGCATTGAACATTGGATCCAAAATTTCTGTACAGTTTTCTTCTAAACTTTCATTAGATATATGCTGTAAAAATATAATTTATCCAATAAATAAAATTATTTTAGAGAAACCTCTACTATTTCTATATATTAATTTTGATTTGTTTGTTTAGTTCTGTATTTTATGTATTGTACCTGAAGATATTTGTTACAAACAAAAGATAATGTCAAAAAAAGTACTTTTGAGTTAATCTGTGCTGGTTTTAGGTTGTCTTTGTTTATGTATGATATTCCAGTTTTAGAGTGTAATTTAACTAATTGTATGCACATTATTTTATTATATTGTTCTTTTCTTTAAATAATAATATATAATTTAAAAAGTAAATTATAAACATACCTTTTTATAAAAAGATAATTTACAATTTTTTACATTTCTATCTTCTGACCAACTACATACAAAATCAACAACTTCATTTACACTAGTTTCATTCTGAGAAATGATATCATCCTTATTATTTTTATTACAATTACCTGTAAATACCAAAAATTTGTTATTAATATCTATCAACATAATCAGTATATTAGAGAATAAAAGCTGTTTTTTCTTTTTTGTATTCAATTTATATAATAAATTTATGTAAATTGTAAAAAAGTTGATTTCATGAAAAAGCTGCTCCATCTGAACATAAAATTCTCAAATTAACAAGAATGTAGAATTCATGATTTACATTCTGAAAAATAGAAATTTAAAAAATAATTATCTTCAGTCATTTTTGCAAATACATTACAATTTCAAATTATTTTTCAATCACATGTTTTTCATATTTCATATTATTGAAAAATGATAGTCTGATAAAAAAATTATCAAAAGTAAAGATAGGAATGTAGATCTTTTCTGTCAGTGGTATAAGATTTCTAATGAAAAAAGTTTTGTTTCCAGAATTTCAAATTACTTTGTGAAAAATATAAATCAGAATTAATTTGGATTGAATTTGTATTTTAAATAAATATCAGTCAAGTATCATATAAATAAAATCAAGGTTAAATTGTCTCCATTTTATCATTAATTCTGTTGTTAGATATCAGGATATAGTTTAATGACAATTGTATATTTGATGATATTGCTAATATTTAGACCAACGTTTCTCAAAGTGGGTGATAACGCCCCCTTGTGGGCGCTGGAGGCTTTCAGGGGGGCAGTAGAAGGCTCAAAGAGAATTGGGGGGCGTTAAAGAAATATAGAGGGGCGACGGCAGACAAATTCTATATGTATAAATTCGACGGAATATATATAAAATTTTGACATTTTATATATTTTTTATTTTTTATTGAAGGTCACAACTTGAATATTTCTAACACATTCACTTTTATTTTAGCTCAGCGTTTCTCAAAGTAAGCAATAACGCCCCCTTCTGGCGCGATGAATAGATCTATGATAGAGGCAGGGTATTGAACAATGACCAAAGGCAAAATTGGGGCTGATAAGAGGAAACATTGCATTTAATGGTTTCCAGATGATGAGAACAATGTACAGTAAGGGTACAAAGTGTGAGATTCATAGAAAAGTTTCCTAAGAATATTTCCAATCCTTTTCTCACACAAGAGAAAATGGGTTAGGGGGCGTTGGGTATAACTTTATGGAACAAAGGGGGCGGTGGATTGAAAAAGTTTGAGAATCACTGATTTAGACAATATTTACTCATGTTAAAAAAATTCATAAAGTTCTTCCTAACTATAAAGTGATTCTTCACAAATCAAAAATTAATAATAAAAAACAAAAAATAGATTTAGGTTTAAAGATTGATATAAATATTTTTATTTAGTACTTTTGAGAATGCTCAAAAACTTCAATTGCTATCCTTTTCTGATCTAAATGTTATAAAAGAAAATTACAAAAAACTATTCAAAAATCTATATATCTTAATCCAAAAGTTTTATTTTTGGAGTAAAATTTGAACATTTTTAAAAAATTAAATAATTTAAACACTCCACGAAGTCATTCAAAACTGCTATTAAGGTAATACAAATACAGTCAAACCTCAGTTTTCAAGCAACCCACTTTTTGAACAAATCAGTTCATGAACAAAATTTTGAACTCTTAATTACAATGGTTGACAAACAAGTTAATCGGCAAGAGCCAGCCACAGATTAAAGAGACACAGATGGTCAACTCCCTATACTTCCTATGTTAAAGAAAACTGATGGTCTGATCAATCAATGACAGAACTATCAATTCAGAAGTTAGTGGTGCTGAGATTGTCTTGCATCATTCGATACATATTTCACTAAATGTATCATCCAGTATAGCCAATTCTGTTCCTGTAAGACTAACTTTATATTATTTTTTATAATTGATGTGCACATATTTTTGATGTTGTGGGAATCCAGTGGGAAAGAAATGTCTTTTCTTACTTGTTCAGCCTCAGATTGGAAAGATCTGCCCACAGGATTGCTAGGATGGGTTTTTAGTATTGTAAAATTTGGATACAGGGAGTTCGTAGGAACTACCTGCTTGTTTTCCTGACACCAGCTTAATTAGAGCATTAGGCATGCTAATGAACAAACGTATAAACTTTTCCGAGTAGAAGGGGTCATAGATCCATGATAAGACTTTGGCATTGAGTTCAGATCAATAATGAGACCATTTAAGAAACAAAACAAAAAATTTAATAAGGATAAAAATAAAGTGAAAATAGGATATATACAAAGAGAGTTTAAATGCATATCTGTTTGCGTGAGAGAGAGAGAGAGTTTACAGTATCTTACACATACTACCTAGATTGAAGGTCTCAATGTCAGTCTTCTCGTTGTGCCAACTCGACTGTGTTCTTGGATGTGGCTCGAGGAGGAGGATGTGAGTGAGGAGGCTCTTGCTACTATGGTACCTTCAAAATACTGAAAGACTGTCTCTCTCAATGGCACTTTCCAATTTCTTGTGGACTGCCCCAAATGGCAGGAAAATTGCTCCTTTTATCATAATTTCTGACCAATAGAGTTAAAGGATTTATGTTTGCTAACGGGATATGCAGGGACGTGTGGAGGGGTAAACAACCAGATGGGTTGATTAAGATAAGAAATAAACTCTCAGAAAGGGAAGTTGATTTCCCTTTTTTTGTAAAAAGTGACAGCTATGTCTTCTTTTTTGTAAACAACATGTAACAAATAAATGTAATTTCTCATGCTAATTAACTGCTATAATTACGATTCTCGTTAATGGATATATCACATACACAAAATTTTTAATTATTGAATAAACATACGCTTGTATATGATAAGTCTGTTGTTAGTTGTGATTAAACAAAATGTTTAATTAATATACAACTTGTGTTAACCATTGACACAAACTATTTTAATCTAATGCACATCATCCTCAAATTATTATGCTAAGTTTTGTATGTCTTATAAAGGTGCACCATGCACATCAACAACAAAAATGAATCAAATATTATTTAAAGAAAGTCAGGATTTTTCTTGTTGCATGCACAATTGAGAATTTGTGACCCTTCTTTGCATTTAATGATTTATATAATGTTACTATTTTGAGATTTTCTAATAATAAATAATGTTTCTTTATATCTTATTTGATTCAATTAACCATTTATCCAGAATTTTTCAGAATGAAATTATAGTTATTTATTTGACAAAGCTGAAAATAACACACTTTTTCAGAGGTACTGTACATGTTCAATTTTTTAGGTGATCGTAAATAATGCTTTTTGCATTTCAGTTTGTTTTAACTAAATAACATTTTAATAAATTTAGAATAAAAATCATATTTGCTCACAAGCCATGTTTTCTCACAGCCTCTTTAGATTATAGAAAGTTGAGTTTCCTATAAACTTCTACACAGATAAATTATGAATAATAAGGCTATTTTCATTTTGAAAGCAAGCAGTTGAAAAAACACTTCTCAGCAGCTAATTAATCTGTAAAAACACTCTTTTTCATATGATCACCTACAAAATTATTTTTTATTAAATGCTTTTTATTTAGCAGCTAGAAGTAAATCTGTAAGAAAAATATACAATGAAATTTTTTGTATATTAAAGGATAGTAATAGATGCTTTGTAAAGCAATGCCTCTCTGAATTTAATTCAATTTTCCTTGACTTTATTTTAAGATGGTATTGCTCTCCCTAGTATTACATTATATAGTCCCAGGATTGTAGTCTGGATCCATCCCTGCATACAGTATATAAGTTTTCATTACAAATTTCACTAATTCTATCTTATAATTATTTTAAAAATTCTTTAATTTTTATTTATGTATAACACAAACTGAAGAACTGTAAAATTGGTGATTAGTTATACAGGGTGTTTGTAAGTTATCCACCATAGGAAATTGTGCAAAGAAGCAAGTGATTGTTGGAAAAGCATCAGGGGCAAGTGTATAGTGTACTGGTTATATGTCAAATGGAAATTAAATGCACAAAATTCATGTATGGTCAAATTATTTTCAACTAGTGTAGGTCCAGCTGCATAGTTCTGTATCTCACAATTAGATATGTTGTGTAGTTTAAACTTCTTCTATTTAATACATGAAACATTACTGGCTTTTTATTATTGTTATGTTTAATTTTACTTAAAGAAAACCAAAAATAACATTAAAAAACTAATAATGTGCTATGTTCTTCGTGTCTAATGCTAAAGTTCAATCCTCACAACATACTTTGTGAGTTACTATGCAGTTGGGCTTACATTAGTTAAAAGGGAGTCAATCAAGCATATGAATTTTGTGTGAAGTTGGACAAAAAGATATCAATGTCCATTGTATATAGATGAAAATATTTTTGATTTTGCTGGTTGTTTGGTGTGTTGCTTAACTAAATTTTGTGCATTAATTTCCATTTGACTGTATTGTGACTAAGAATGATACATCATATAATCAGTACACTATACACTTCTCCCTGATGCTTCTCTGCACAATCTCCTAAGTACATGACTTATGAAAAACAGTGAATATTTATATGCATAGTCCTTTGAAATTTAATATATTTCTAGGAATTTTTATTTTGTATAGATTTTTGTCTGTATATATAACAGTATTCTAAAAACATGACTACACAATAATTTAATAAAATATATTATTATTATTATTATTATTAAAATCAAAGGACAAATCCAAAACTTACCACATAAACCTCTGGTTTTATTGAAGAATTTCTCTGACGGCAGTTTTATGCTAAATCCACCAGTTAATTCATAATACTTAATTTCAATCCCTAGACTTGGGATCATAATTAAAAATGTTTGGCCAGGAAATCCAAATACTATTATTCCATTCAATTCTTTAGGAAGCATATCTATGTTCACAAATTCTGTTCCAATTACTAACTGTAATAAGAATATCTTCAAATAAATATATATAATGTGGAAATACAAAATAAATAAGAAGATAAGTAATATTATTATGACAATAATAATGATGATAATTTTTATTTTGTTATTTTATTAGTATTAATATAATCGTGCACTTTAAGTTAATATTCTTGATTCTTTAAATGCTAAAAACAATGAGTTAAGCTTAGTTCACATTTAGCGAATAGTGAAAGCGAATGTGAAAAGCGATTTTTATTTGCTTAGTGAAATTGACCTTACAACCAAAAGTGAAAAGCAATTGCAAATTTTAAGCAGCAAATCATTTGCAAGCAAGTGAAAACGTCATCTCAAAAAACAAAATGGCCACTTCTGATATTCTGTTGTTAATCACATTTGTTTATTTATTGAGAAAGAAAAATAACTAAAAAAAAAAAAAAAAATGATGCTGAGTGAGAGAAATATTAAAATCCGTAATTAAAACATATAATCTATTGTGTGAGAAAGTTTCTGTAGCCATCTTGAAAACAACAATAACCATGTGATAACTAGCAGGAATACGATTGGTGCAAAATTTTTTGCTAGCAAAAAAACTCTACAGTTCCGAACTTCGAAGCGATTTGTGAAGTGGTAAAATTTGCTGGAAACGACGTCACGTCTGACGTGTTATTCGCTCTGTGTTTCGCTTTCGCTAGCGAATCATGTTCAGTGTGAACTAAGCTTTAGCATTACTTATTTAGATGATTTAAAACAATGACTAGATAATATTTAGATTTTTCATATTATATTATTCAATAATGTTTCATGTTATTTAGATAATATGAAATATTATCTAAATAACATGAAATATTTTAAATTCTATTTTATAAATACAGTGGTACCTTGGTTTTTTAAATAATCCATCCGAAAACAATCAGAGAAATCCAAAACCAATGAAAACCGAGGCAATTATTTCCACATGAATCAATGTAAATTCAATTAATTCAGTTCTAAACACTCCAAAATACATATCAATAACACATTTTATAGAGAATAAAACAATAAGAAATTAACATAAAATAAATATATAAGACTAATATAAAGAATAAATAAACATTTAACATGGCATTTCCCATGAAGCAGCTAAAAGTAAAGGAAAGCAATAGAATTGGATGTATTCAAAATCTCAGCATCAATCCAGTGAGATGTTCTGGAAGTGATGCAACTGCTAGCATTTTCTAGAGAACACAAATGCTGACTGCCAGGAATTTTGGAAGAGTAAAATAAAAATGGTGAATAATGTGAACTTCCACATTAGGTTAAATTTATTTTTGAACTTATTTAATGAGAACAGCTTAATGAAAAATGAATATTTTGAAACGAGAAGTAGAGATGAAGATTTTTTACATTTCTGTAGGAGTTTTAAATAATTAAATCAATCCTAAGATTACACTTAACAACTAAAAAAAAAATATGTGATGTCTTTGGTAAATATACAAGTATATTAAAATATTCTATTAATGTACTAACCAAAACGAATATTAATTTATTCAGGATTTATTCATCAACAAATAAATTTAAAATTGTCATTGCAAAATAGAGCTCTTATGAGCCTCATGGTGGCTGTCATCTTGTTTGCTGGTGTATCGAGTACCTAAAAAATCACTTGCTGTTTGCTGGCAGCAACCGGAAGTCATCTGAGATTTTGAATATGTCCATTGCTTGGCTAGACATACAAGGTAATGCTCATACAATGAGAAACAATGCTACACTGAGCAGGAAAAGGCATAGTTTCGCAAAATTAGCAGTAAGGTCATGAGGGCAAGCTGATGAAATCTGAGGCAACTGATGAAAACAGAGACAAATTTTTCATAAAAAAATCAACAAAAATCGAAACAAACAATAACCAAAGTCAATGAAAACCGAAGTATTACTGTAGTCTTTGTAAAAAATATCTTAAACTTATTAGGTATATAGTTAATGCTTCTAAATAAATTTATAATTAAGACATTATTAACTCTATTCAACCATTTGTTTATTGTTTAAATTACTTTGAGAATTTTTAGCAATTTTGTTCTATATTTTAACTGAAATGTAATAATTCATATCAATGGTCTAGAGCAATGGTGCCAAACTTTTTGATTGGTGAGACAAATACACACAAATCTTAAGTAAGTGAACTACAAATATTTTGTATATCCCATATATACAAAAAGTAGGCTATTTCTACCACTTTTATAAGTGATATGTGAAATATGTTTGTGGGCTGGATTAACATGTGCCACAGTCAAATTTGTCCTAGGCATTGTAGTTTGGCATCACTGAAAAACTTATAACAAAGTTTGCAACATTTCAGAGAAAGCAAAATAATAAAATAAAAATAAAAAGAAACAAGCAGTTATTTTATTGTAACATTGTCACAATGTCAGGCTGCAATTTTTAATCATATTTTTTAAAAATTTATTTAATTGAAAATATATGCTCTCTACCTTCAAATTAGCAGTGTCTTGTCCCTGTACATCATACTCAACAATAGAGTCATGCTGGTCATCTATCTAACTCCTTTCAGGGAAAATTTTTGAATTGAAATGACATGACTTCTTGTTTGTAACAGAAGTTTGTATGTAGTTAATAGACTAAAGACAAGATCAGATATGGAAACCTTAGAGGCAGGAGAGGAACCTCCTGCCTCTAAGGTTTCCATATCTGGTCTCATCATTCTATCTAACTCTGTTCTCAAGATTAAGGAAAGACAGACAGATGACACTGAGAATATATAGGTGTATAATTTTTTTAAATTGCAGCCTAATGAAAAATTTTGTATTGGTATAATTAAAAGGTTTATGGTTTAAAAATGTTGGTTTTAATAATTTTTTAGTGTTAGAGATTGTATATTTTTGGATCTTAACGGGTAAACTTGATATACAAGTCAGATTGATTTCATGTCATACAAGGTTTTCACTCTAGACCAGTGGTTCCCAAAGTGGGCATCACCACCCTCTTCAGTGATGAGTAAATCTAGGTGATGAAAAAAAGCAAGGAGGTACTAGAGGGAGGGATCTGACTGAACAGTAACCATAAGTGAGGATTTGGGTCACTAAGAACCTTTCCCTTTCCACCATTTAAATGGGTATAAAGAAACATTGTGTTTAACATTGGTTTCCAGATATGGAGAACAATGTATGATAAGAATGCAAAGTGCAAGGTTCATAGAAAAGCTTTTCTAAGAATATTTCCAAGCCTTTCTCACACAAGAGAAAATGGGTTGGGCATTGGGTATAAGTTTATGGAACCAAGTGGGCAGTGGCTTGAAAAAGTTTGGGAATCACTGTTCTAGACCATCAATAAATAAATCTAATAAAGGTAATAATGTATAATATATTCTAAAACTTTATTGTAGGAGTCATACTTTACATAAACTAACCATTTTTGAAGCAGAATAGTTCATAGTAGTCAATATTATTTTGAACACTTCAGCTTAAAGTTTATGGATCACAGAGTCCTGTTATCAATAAAGACAGGAGCAAAGTTATTGGGAATATGAGAGAGGTATCTCACTCCTCCAATTTCAGCAAATTTCACAGAATAGTTGGCAAAGTCACATCACAAAAAGCACCATAACAACATGTTTTCAGAATTATGAGAAATAAAGAAGTGTAAAGAAGGGGATTGAGAGATGGGAAGTTGTGAGAGGAGAGCCAGCTTCTTGATTGGTGCTTTGTATTGTGATCGTACATCTTATTTTGTATATAGTTGTATATATTATTCTTAGTATTTATTTCATTTTCTTCCTCTTTGTTAGTTCTTTTGTCTATCACCTTCTAGAAACTTCTTTCCTAACCCTTCCCTGTTCGGGTGGTGATGACCTAATTACAAAACAAAGGAAAAGGGGTAGCATGAGGGCTAAGAGTAGGACAAGACTTTACTTTTTGGCTTGAACGTTGGAGAGATAGGACGTGTTGTGAGGACTTACAAATTGTTCTGGCATCGACTGGAGAACAAAGGAGATGATAAGCCTAAGCTAGCATTTGAGAGGAGCCTGAAATATATCTTGAAATAAGGATCTTCAAAAGCTTATTGAGAGAATCTACAATCAACAATTCCTACAATTCTGAGAGTTAATAATTCAGCAATCACCACCATCACTCCAAGATCATTGACACTTTGGGTACCCATTCTTTTGTATCATCATAAATCAGGGTCGCCAAACTTTTTTGATTGTCGACCCCCTACAACTTTTCAAAACTTCACATTGACCCCCACCAAAAAGTTTGTGTTACACGCAAAAGAAAGCTCTTATTATTTTAATATCTATCTTTTAATTTTACATTTTTTAAATTTATTGTACACTAGCAGACCCCGCCACGCGTTGTTGTGACTCAAAATGTATCTATTATAAATGTATAACATTTCCCCCTGTGGGGGGATTTTTCGAAAAATTTCTTCTTAGTATACATTTTCTTGACATACCCCATTAAAACACAATCAAAAATGCAAAAAACCGCATCTAAAATAGTATAATAGAAGCCAAATTCTTCACAGTAAGGGTTAATCCTGTCCTTCTCCCCCGTGGAGGGAATATCAAAAAATCCCTTTTTAGTGTATATTCTGTTGACGTACCCTATTAAAATGCAATCAAAAATGCAAAAACTTCATGTAAAATAGTATAAATAGAAGCAGAGTTCTTTATGGTAA